TGAGAGTCAAGTCACTTCTTTACATAGTTAAGCTATTACTGACTGATCTGGCATAGAAATGGCTTCCAGATTCTTCTCCTGCGCTTGAGCCAACATACCAGGCATCATGTTGAAGGACTAGGGCTAGAGGCCATATCAGGATATATATGTATCCTACTGTCCTGTAGTAGGAGTATGTCGGGGGAGAGAGAAGCAGGGTCTGCAATGTGCAGAGCCAGAAGCAATTCTGTGGAAAATTCCTTCAAACATCTGACATGTAAAATTGTAAACAAAGGATTCAACTCTCATCAATGCCCCATCAAGACAGAAATTCTCTCCTGTTCAGGAACATACTTGATAATACATTATACATAATTATAAACCTAAAATACATTTTCATGAAAATCATCTAAAGCAGATTTTATCAGCATTCTTGGGTTTCTGATGCATTGTCCTGTGGCAGTGAACACATCTATGTGTGAGGTTGCATGTTTTATGCATCCCATAGATCACTACTCAAACACAAATTTAGACCAACCGTGCTAGAAGAAGACTATTTTCTATCTATAGAAACTCATGTTATAAAATTGGTGTTAGATAACGAGGTGATCAAATAATATGCAGCCACTGTAATCCCAGCACTTTGGGAGGCCGAGGTGGGTGGATCACCTGAGGTCAGGAGTTCGAGACCAGCCTTCCCAACATGGTGAAATCCCATCTCTACTAAAAATACAAAAATTAGCCGGGCCTGGTGGCAAGCACCTGTAATCTCAGCTACTCGGGGGGCTGAGGCAGGAGAATTGCTTGAACCCGGGAGGCAGAGGTTGCAGTGAGCCAAGGTTGCGCCATTGCACTCCAACCTGGGCAACAAGAGTGAAACTCCATCTCAAAAAATAGTAATAATAATATGCAGCCAAATAAGTAGAAAAATAAATTATAAAAAGCTGTCAGAGAATTAAAAAACAAAAATAGAATTCTAGATGTATGGGTATTCGTAGCATTTATCATCTTTCTAATGTTTGTAATTTATTTTTTATCTCTTTTTATTCTAAATAAATATTTGCTTTTATAACTAATTTTATATTTATAATTTTATACTCTTTTTCTTAAATAGAAGATTAAATAAACTTCAAGCCCCACAAAAGCTAGATCCGCTCCTCCTACATCCAGTTCTAATGACTGATCACCCAGATTTGTCAAGTCACAGTAAAGGCCTTTACTGCCCATTGGCAGTCTCTGGTTTGCTTCTTTTTTTGTTTTAAATTAGAGAGCAGACCTCTCTCTGCCACCCTGGCTGGAATGCAATCACAAGATCCTAGCTCACTACGGCCTTGAATTCTTGGACTTGCGAGATTCCCCTGCCTTAGCCTCTAGTGTAGGTAGGACTACAGGCACCTGCCACCATGGCCGGCTAAATTTGTTTAATTTTTTTGTGCAGAAGGGGTCTCACTATGTTGCCCAGGTTGGTCTCAAACTCCTGACCTCAAGCAATCCTCTCACCTTGGCCTCTCAAAGTACTGGGATTACAAATATGCCACTGTCTGCTTGGTTATCTTTTACGTCTAAACCCATGGGGAAAATAAGAGAAAACAAACAAATAAATACCATGATACTTTTGAAAGTGAAATTTATATCCTGAGCACGTGTCAAACATAAATTACCACCCAAGTCTTGTCAATCTCTGCTTCCAGTGGAATCCAAATTAAGAAACATACCTGTATTAGTTTGATAGGGCTAATGTAACAATGTACCACAAACTGGGTGGCTTAACCAACAGAAGTGTATTGTCTCAGTCTGGAGGCCTGAAGTCGGAGGTCAAGGTGTTGGCAGGGCTGGTTCCTTCTGAGGACGTGAAGGAGAATCTGTCCGGTGCCTCTCTCCTAGCTTCTGATGGTTGCTGGCAATGGGTATTGCTTGGCTTATAGTTGCATGGCCACAATCTCTGTCTTCTCTTCACATGGTGTTCTCCTTGTGTGCGACTCTCTATGTCTAAGTTTCCCATTTTTCTAAACATAACAGTCACATTGGAGTCGGGTCCACTTTAATGATTTCATCTTGTCTACATCTGCCTAAGCCCTGTTTCCAAATAAAATCACATTTCTGAGTAGTGGGGATTCAGACTTCAACATCTTTTTAGGGGGTACACAATTCACCCCATAACAATGCCTTAATATTTTTGTACTTTCCTTCTACAAAAGCAAGTAATGATAGTACTCAGTATTGGTGAGAATACAATGTGCAGTATGGTGGTCATTCCTATTGCCATTGGGAATGTCAATGAGAACATTAGAAACAAGTAATTTAAGTTCATTTTAAGATGTAAATTCCAGAAATTCAGGGACCTTGTCTGTTTTCCTCACCACTGTTATCTCAGCTGCAAAAACACAGCTTAGCACATAACGCATACTCAATGAATACTTGTTTTGAATTGATGTATTATCTTGAAATGCCTATACTAAATGGTTATGGTTTGGCATTGGTTAGAATAACTAGACAGAAGAAAATGTTGTTAAATACCATACTCTCGACTAAATAGATGGGAAGCTTCCTTTCAACTATCTATTCAAAAACATAATTTAGGTCTTTATAGAAATAATAAACTATGTTTGCTGGAATTCATACAACGGTATAAAACCTATAGTTAATATTTAACTCTATAGAAAACATAGGTATATTGTATATTCAGTAAACCACAAATAGTTACGTTTCCATTCTGTCCCCAGTAAGGAATTGGTAAAAATGATTACCCTAGGTAAATCTCTTTTACCTTTAAAATTTCATTAAAAATTTCAGATCTCATAGAAACCCCAAAATGAATTCTCTGATCCCCTGAGTTAGATTAGGTTCTCCTGTCACTCACTCCAACAGATTTCAACATTTCTTTGTTGTTAGTACTTATCAATTTGAACTTAAGTAATGTTTTATTATTGTTTTAATGCCTAGCTTTGCCGCTATTACACAATCCATGAAAGCATACTTTACTTGTCTTTTTCACTAAGGTAATTTAACCCCCAATATTTGCTTAGTGCCTAGTATATATTTGCTGCTCAATAAATATTTGCTAAGTCAACACATAAATTACTGAAAGAATGAAAGAGCGAATAAATAAATGCATGTATGGAAGTATGACTAAATGAACATGCATTCATACAGTCTCTGCCCAATTCCCCTGCTTTGGACTTTACCTAAGTTCTGCTGATCTTCCTCAATTGCCTTGTTCTAAGGCAGTATTTTCAGGAATGTCATTTTCTTTCATTTTTTACCCTAATTTCTCTGCAGAAATTCTGTCTTTGAGTTTGCTCAAAAAAAATAGTCTATGTCAATTTTATTGCAAAGGCGATGTTGTTTTCCTTCAATAAACTCTGCAAGAATGCCTACTGCTGCTTGTTTGTTATCAGAGGAAGCTTCCCTTTCTATTTGCATGACCCTGTCATTTTCCAGCCCTTTAATCTGGTTCTCTGTGTTCCCTGGTCAGCAGCCTCTAGGTTGTGCCCACATCGTGTGGATGGAAGCTAAATTCTTCTTTTGGTGGACAAAGTAACTTACTGATTGGGGTCAGGGCTACAAAAAGATCCCCACTGGGCAGAAGAATGCATGTAGTGAAGCTTCCTTTGTAACATTGTTAGGAATTATTTTCTGCGTGCAACAGGGAAGGCTGTTTTTTAATTGAACCATTTCAGTTCCACTGTATCTGCAAAACTTTTATTTCCATTTGGAGTCAATTATAAATAATGGTATATTTATTTTTATGAAAATCTTTATATTTCTTTAAGATAGTCTACAAGCGGAGATGCCAAGTCATCTGTTGAATACAGACTTTTTCTTTTTGAAGGATTTTGATACAAATTCAAATCGCTTGTCTAAATTCATACAATCAGTACAAAAGAGGATCCCCTTAACTGAACCTTTCCCAAGGATATATATTATTATTTTAAAAAGCAAATCTTTAGGGCTAGGTGCAGTAGCTAACACTTGTAATCCAGCACTTTGGGATGCTGAGGTGGGAGGATCCTTGAGGTCAGGAGTTCAAGACCAGCCTGGGCAACACAGCCAACTCCATTTCTACCAAAAAAATTGTTTTAAATTATCAAGGAGTGATGGTGTGTGCCTGTAGTCCCAGCTACTCAAGAGGCTGAGGTAGAAGGTCTCTTGAACTCAGAAATTCAAGAATGTAGTAAGCTATGATTGTGCCACTGAGCTCTATCCTGAGCAACAGAGTGAGACCCTGTGTCAAAAACAAAAAACACAACTAACCTTAGTAATAGTGTTAGTGAAAAATGATCACTTTTTTTGTGTTGTTTATTTTTTTGGTTACTATCAAGGATACATGCTTGCATGTGAATTGACTAGATGGATTTTCTCTTTTGGGTAATGATCTCTTCATAAATATTCCAACTATCAGCAGGGGCCCTACTGGTTTTTGTATCTGTCTGCATGAACTCTTTATGTAGAAACTATATTCACGTCAACATTTTATGGAAAATATTTTTCCATGTTAATATTTCCCTAATGGTGGTTTTATGTATAGAATTTTTATTTTTATAGATCTGCTGGTCTTTGCCTTACATTTTTTTTCTGTTATTTCTAGTATAGGAAAACTTCTCCCATGTAGAAGTTTTATAAATAAATATCCATGTTTTCTTCAAATGTTTCTACTGTTAAAATTTTAAACATTAAAATTTTTAACCAATCTAAAATTCACTTTGGTGTGTGGAATGAAGTGAGAAATCAAAGCTTTCATATTTCTAGATATTCATGTTATCACCATTTATTGAATACTTGGTCCCTGCTTAAGGGTTTATAATATGCTTCCTATGGCACAATAGATTGTTATGTAAAATAGCGTCAATTTATGAATCTCCAAAACAAAATGTCCTAGACAAAATTTTCTTCAAGCATGTGCTACATTTTATTAATGTGCTACAAGGGCTCCAGGAAAGCGACAGAAACACGTGCCCATATAAAAGTGGAGGGGTTACACAGCAAGAGACAGAAGGCTTACATAAGCAAGCAGCTATTTAAAAAAAATTAGAAAGATTCCATTTTTATTTTACAAAGTCATGAAAATATCATGTCTGTATCAGTGGTGAAAAAGGAATAATGTGGCAGAATGATCCATTATCCTAGGTGTGCATTAATTATACTTTTCAGGTATGTTTTAGAAGCATTTTGTCAGTTAATAAACCACGAATGCTTTGATAGGGATTATATTAAACCACCTTCTTGGCCTCTAAGACTCTAAACTCTCCAGGTTCTCTCCTGTTTTATTAGCTGCCTTCTTTCAATCTTCTCTGCTGGATCTTCTTTCTTGTCCCAAATTCTTCGTGTTGGTGAGCCCCAGGAGTCTCTCTGCGTTCTCTCCGTGGATGACCTCATCCAGTCCTCTGGCTGTACATTCCATCTACCTATTGATGGCCCAACATGTTTCTGTGAGTTTCATGCTCTTCTGGCAATTGCCTACTCAACATCTCCACTTGGAGTCTAACAGACATTTCACACTTAACATGTCTTAAGGCTCCTGATTTCAACCTGCAGCTCTTGTTCCTTTCCCAGTCTTCCCCAGTGAAGTAATTAGCACCGTGAGCCAACCCGTAGCTTCAGGACAAAAACCGAGGGACCAACATGGATTCCTCTCTTGGTCTCACCCTTCATACACAACCCATAAGCAAATATTTTATGTCTATCTCCAAAATATATCTGAAATCTACTTCTGGTTCTTTCCACCCTTATCACACAAGTACAAGCCCGTCTTTTCCAGACTGAATTACTGAGATAGCCTCTTAACTGTTCTTACTGCTCTATTTTCCCCTCACCTCTACCCTGTCTATTCTCAGCACCAAGACCAAACAGGTCTTAAAAAAAACCATATTAGATCACATCCTCACCTGGTCAAAAGAGGCACCACAAGACTTAGGCCCCAAAGTCCTGCACAGTCTGCCCTCACATTACGTCCACCTTCATCCCGCACAGGTCCCCACTGTACTCACTCTGCCTTAGCAACACTGCATTGCTTGCAGTTTCTGGACTACATCAAGCTGGTAGCATGCTGGGGTCTTTGCATCTGTTGTTCCCTCTGCAGGAAATACTACTCTCCCAGATAGCCACATGGCCCTCTCCTACACTTTATTTAACTGTCTGTTCCAATGTGACTCCCTCAAAGACCTTCCCTGACTGCATTCCCCTTCTTTGATTCTCTATTTTATTTTTTTATTATACTTTAAGTTCTGGGGTACATGTGCAGAATGTGCAGGCTTGTGACATAGGGATACACGTGCCATGGTGGTTTGCCACACCCATCAACCTGTCATCTACATTAGGTATTTCTCCTAATGCTATCCCTCACCTTGCCCTCCACCCACCTACAGGCCCCAGTGTAGTGATCTTCCTCTCCCTGTGTCCACGTGTTCTCACTGTTCAACTCCCACTTGTGAGTAAGAACATGCAGTGTTTAGCTTTCTGTTCTTGTGTTAGTTTGCTGAGAATGATGGTTTCCAGCTTCATCCATGTCCCTGCAAAGAACATGAACTCATCCTTTTTTATGGCTGCATAGTATTCCATGGTGTATATGTGCCACATTTTCTTTATCCAGTCTATCATTGACAGGCATTTGGGTTGGTTCCAAGTGTTTGCTATTGTGAACAGTGCCACAACAAACATACGTGTGCTTGTGTCTTTATAATAGAATGATTTATACTCCCTTGGGCATATACCAAGTGACAGGATTACTGGGCCAAATGGTACTTCTAGTTCTAGATACTTGAGGAATAGCCACACTGTCTTCCACAATGGTCGAACTAATTTACACTCTCACCAACAGTGTAAAAGCATTCCTATTTCTCAATATCCTCTCCAGTGTCTGTTGTCTCCTGACTTTTTAATGATCACCATCCTAACTGGCGTGAGATGGTATCTCATTGTTATTTTGATTAACCCTATTTTAGTTTTATTCGATGCAGACGTCATTACCTGACACTACATTATATTAAGGCTTGATTTGTTTGTTGTGCCAACTCCACAAGAATCTAAACACCAGGAGGGCAGAGCCTTTGTGTTGTTCATGACTGTAACCCTAGTACCTAGCATTTTGTTTGGTATATAACAGGTGTTCAATAAATACTTGTTAAATGTCATGATTAAACCTATATTATTTAGAAAATATTTAAATATTTATATCAACATCATCTTTCTGCCCTGGAACATAGTGTATTTTTCCATTTTCTTGAATTTTAATAAATATATCTCAGTATAATTTTGTTCTTTTCTTTGAATATTTGAAAAACATGCATTAAAGCTACTTAGAGATTTTTACATATTTTTTCTTGTTACTTTGTATGGGCTTTATTTTTTTAATCACGCCAAATCTTTTTTAGAAAAGGTAAACTATATATGTACATATACATAAATATGAATAAATTTAAAAGTTTCTAGCTGATTATTACAATTATATTGGAATGCTTTTGATTTCTGCCTATCTTACATTCATCTGCTTGTGTTTAAACAATTTTCAAATGATTTATCTGGAATTATAGTTTTACAATAACTGTCACAAAGTAAGTATCATTTTGTCTCTTCTTTGTTAATAGTACATCTTTTGTATCATGTCTTATTGCATTGGTCACAGCTTTCAGAATAATATTAAACAATATTCTTTTTTGTGCATATTTTAATGGGGATCTCACTAATGTTTTGCTATTAAATACAATGATGGCTATTGGTTTTAATCGAATACTTTTTCTTACATTGAGTAAATATTTTCTCTATTTCTCCTCTTAAATAATATCAGGGATTGTTGTTGCTTCTTACCAAATATGTTCTAAGCAAGACTACTCTTTTGTATTTGACATAATAATTGGATGTATTATGTTAATGGCCTTCCTGTTATTTAACAACTTGTACCTCTCTGAAATTAACTAGGTGACTATGGTGGATTATTCTTTTATATACTACATTTGCAACTTGATATTTATTTTGGATGGTTTTCAGCTTCTTCTTATTCTTCTTCTTTTTTTTTTTTTTTTTTTTTGAGATGAGGTCTCACTCTGTCAGCCAGGCTGGAGTGCAGGTGTGCAATCACAGCTCACTGCTGCCTCAATCTCCCCAGGCTCAGATGATTTTCCCACCTTAGCCTCCTGAGTAGCTTGGACTATAGGTGCATGCTACCACCCCCAGCTAATTTTCGTATTTTTTTTTTTTCAGCCAAACAAAACAGGCATTCTTGGTTATTAGAACCTTTTTTTTTTTTTTTTTTTTTGAAAGAAAGGAAGAGAAAGAGAAATGGGGAGAGAGAACAGGAGTCTTGCTCTATTGCCCAGGCTGGAATGTAATCTAAAAATAGGTATTAAAAACCTCTTTTATACCGATAATTGTGCTTAATAGCAGAGACAGGAAGGAATAAGGGAAGAAAATAACAAACAAACAGCCAACCAATATTTAATTTAAGTCTGTGAATTTTTGTATTTTTTGTAGAGATGGGGTTTCATCATGCTGCCCAGGCTGGTCTCGAACTCCTGGGCTCAAGTGATCTGTCTGCCTTGACGTCCCAAAGTGCTGGGATTACAGGTGTGAGCCACCACACCCAGCCAGTTGTGGGCACCCAGCCAGTTCTCAGTAAGTGTTAAATATTTTAATTCAGAGTTTTCTTGCTGCTCTTTCTTTCTGTTCTTGTCTACCTGTCATTTCACTATTACCACCAATTCTTATTATTCCTGGTAAACAGACAGATAATAGGGAAGAAGCTATTACTTCTCAGCTTCAGAGTCGTGTCTCAAAAGTAAAAATAGCCCTGTAATCTTCTTAATGGGTAAGAAGGAGCAGGTGGTGAATATCTACAGAAAATGGTTCCATCAAGCTGGATTAGTGTTGTGTCACCTTCCAATAAAGATAAAAGCCTGTCAAGCCTCCATTTGACATTTGTTAATGGGAATTACTATTTGTTGAAAGCCTTTGTGTGTGTGAGAGGCACTTTATATCCATTTTCTCAGACTTCATCTTACTTCTAGGAATTGGATATTAATATTCCCATTTTATAGATGGAGAAACTAAGGCAGGAAAGGGCAAATAATTTGAACAGTTCGAATAATTTAACAGTTTAAATGGCTGTTTGTTGGTAGAGCTGGAATTTAAACACAGGGATCACTAGGTCCAAAGCCCACTCTCTTTTCATACAGTGACAAGGCTCACAGGGCAGTGCTCTGAAGAAGCAAGACCTCAGCAAACGGGGAGAGAGAAGATAAGCAGGCTGAGGACAGGGTGTTATGACTGCTGCGGAAGAGTCGAGCACACTGTTACTGCCATTCAGATTCATTTGGAAAGAGCTGGTGGGCCAATGGGAAGGGGGTGACATAGAATGGGAAGGAGGGCATTTTAGGTGGAGGCGTAAGGGCAAAGGCATAGGATCTGAAAGCCTAGGACATGTTTATGGAAGAAAGGATAATGCTCTTTAGATGGTGGACTGTGTCCATGCTGCTGTGTAATCAAAGATACGCTAGAAACTTAGATTGAGTTCCTATTGTGAAACCGGAGAGATAGATGGATAGATGAAGGGGTTTGTTTTTAAAAGGTAGGCAGCGGGAAGCCATTGCAGTTTTTTTTTTTTTTTTTTTGGAGACAGAGTCTTGCTCTGTCACCAGGCTGGAGTGCAGTGGCAAAATCTCAGCTCACTGAAACCTCCGCCTCCTGGGTTCAAGTGATTCTTCCACCTCAGCCTCTCGAGTAGCTGGGATCACAGGTGCGTGCCACCACGCCTGGCTAATTTTTGTATTTTTAGTAGTGATGGGGTTTCACCATGTTGGCCAGGATGGTCTTGATCTGCTGACCTCATGATCCGCCCACCTCGGCCTCCAAAGTACTGGGATTACAGGCATAAGGCACCGCGCCCAGCCTATGCAGTTTTAAATAACGGGCTAACAAGTCAGATTGGGATGGATCATAGCGGGTAAAGATGAGAGAATGACACCCTGATCACGTGACTGTAAACAATGTATCAGGTAATAAAGGGAGCCTGGTTGGAAGAGTGGCAGGAGGAATGGAAAACAAGGACCTGGTTTAGGATCAGACGCAAGGGTGGATTTACTGCATTTGTGTAGCTGGGATGCTGGGGCACAGGGAACGGCAATCATGGATGCCTTCAAGTCCCTGGGAGCCTGAGTCACTGGAAGAAGTGTTCGGCCACTACCGATAGGAGGACCTTGGAAGGCAAGACTGGCTGGTGGAAAAAGAGATGATGAGACACCTAGATAGAAGCTGGTTGTTTAGAGGATGAGATTTGTAGTCATCTACCTCAAAATGATAACTGATACTGTGGGTGTCATTAACGTCTTTTTTTTTTTTTTTTTTTTTTTTTTTTTTTGAGACCGAGTCTTGGCTCTGATGCCCAGGCTAAGTGCAGTGTCCCGATCTCGGTTCACTACAACCTCCACTGCCTCCTGGGTTCAAGCAATTCCCCTGTCTCAGCCTCCTGAGTAGCTGGGACTACAGGTACATGCCACCACGTCTGGCTAATTTTTGTAATTTTAGTAGAGTCGGGGTTTCACCATATTGGTCAGGCTGGTCTCAAACTCCTGACCTCAGGTGATCTTCGGCCTCCCAGACTGCTAGGATTACAGGCATGAGCCTCCGTGCCTGGTGATTAATGTCTTTTAAGAGAGCAATTTTAGTAAATGTCGAAGAGCTGAAGCCAGGCAGAAATTCTCAATCCCAGTTACACATCAAAACCACCTCTAGATCTTAAAAACCACATCTGTTGAATCAGAATCCCCAGAGCAGAAGACCAGATCCCTCTATCATTTAATATCATCGCAGGGGATCTGCTGGGCAGCCAGAGTTGACCACCACTGGGGAAAGGGTAGAAATTTTGCTGTGAGAAAGCAAGAGTGAGACAGCCTCTTACCTAGCCAAGAAGAGAGATGTGCCATCTGGGTTTCCTTTCAGGTTTCCTCTTTCATAACCTTCAAGCACCTCTCTGTTTCGCAGATTCAATTGATATCTTGTTAATACTTTTTACTGAGAGCCTTCTGGTTGCTTTAACAGGCGTTCATCTCCTCTTCTCATAGACAGGTAAAAAAAAAAAAAATCAGACGGTGGTAGAGCTAGAAGGAAACATGTTTTAGCTTTCTTTAGCATCGGATACCTTTTGGAAGATGAAATCTTACATGTAATCCCGATGTGTAAACAGACCAAAGCAGAACCATTCTGAGAGAACCACAGCCCAGAACCCACTTATTTCCCCCACTTACCCCAAGCAAGGACTTTTGAGAGTCCTTCCAGATCTCAGGATCTCTCTCTCATAGTTCAGTGCAACCTCCTCTCTTTCAGGTAAGGACATTAAGGTTTTTGAGTAGTGAAATAATCGATCTTAGGTGGCATAATGAGGTTAAGTCTCCTAAATCCTTATGCAGTTTTCCTTCCTTCACAGGGTGTCGCCTCTCCCTCTGCCAGTCTGACATCTCCCTAAAATTCACTCTCCATTCCGACAGAGAAAGGTACGCAGGGAATCAGATTACCCGCAGCAGCCTTGGTACAAGGTTAAGTGAGGGAAGAGGCTGCAACTCCTGGCTGCCCTGAATTATGTGGTTTATCTGCAGGGATCTCATCTATCTCTCTGCTCCAGTTTCAGCTCTCTCTGGTAATTCTGAGTGGCCTGTAAAATCGCTATCTGGCCAATGCAGGGAGATAAAGAGCCTTGTTAGTTTTAAAGGGAATGTGTCAGTGACTGAAGTTTTATCAGCAGGATGCGTATGGAAAAACGTTTTTCCTTATACCGGTCTGAGGAAAAAGTAATGAGACCTAAGGCATTATAATTGAAAATGAGAACTGTTAGGTATCTTTTTTGCATATTTTATGTGACTGTCAAGAGAGGCTACTATGAGGCATATTTGGCCCTAATATACTTTTGGCATCTCATATACTCCCTAGTTGTCCCAAACCTTTGTCCTGGCTGCCTGTAACTCTTTGGGAATGTTTGTCACAATAGAAGAAACCACAACTTCTAAAGAGGCTAAGATAAATTTCTGATGTAAGGATACTTAACTTTGAATTTTTATATTTGAAAAAAAAATTGTTTAAAGACTTGAAAGATTTTTCCTAAATAATGGCATTTAGGAGATTTAACCTCTTTTCTCATACATGCTATACTCCTGTACAGTGTGCCTTTGCTGAGGTTGCATTCATTGTTAATATTTCGCTGTATAATCACAGGTCTAGATGGGATCATAAAAAGCTAGTCCATTGCCTTGTTACTATGCAGGCACATATTTCCATCACAGAAGACTGTGTTCATCTTTTTTTTAAGGAGACATTGAGCAAGGTTTTCCTTGTATTAATGCCAGACAATTCTGCAGGCTACTATTTAGCTCACAACTTCTTGTTCAGGTCTCAAGAAGAGAGTCGTTATTACCTCCAAATTATCTTCCAGCACCCTGCAACAATACTCATTTCTTTCATTTCTGGCATCGTTGCAAATTTTCTTCATTCGTCCATGCGAGGGGATCATGCTGTAACTACAGCCCTCTGTAATTCATGGTGAAGTCAGCAGCAACATTGGCAGGATGGAAATCTTTTCCCAGAGTGGCTATCAGTAAAACTCATGAGTATCCCTTCATTCTTGGCACCTAGTTGAGTTTAGGAATCTAACTCAGATTCATTCACATAGCAGTACTAAAAAATAAAATCAGAAGTTCAATAAACAAATAAGTCTGTTAAGATATTCATTCTTTAATATCTAAAAATTCATATTTAACAGAAGACTGCACTTACCTGGCTGTTTACATTTTCTCCCTGCATCTCCCTCCTTTTTCCTTTGATTTATATCAGCAGCCAAAGCAATTGTGGGTTGAAATACATGTGTATTGATCTCCAGATTCCAGGCTTTGCTCTGCCTCCCTCTCTCCACTGCCTTTGGCTATTCCTTGTCCTACTCCATCTTCTAGGCTCCAGTCACTTAGCCCTGTGTATTGAAAAGAGGCTCACCCAGGCTGTGCATAGTGTCCCAGTGGCTGTGGCTAAAGGTATTTCATCATGGTAATGGTACATGCCTTAGATTTACATAGACTTCCCAGCATTTTCCTTTTTATCATCTCTGTAGAGGACAAGGTTTAAATCCACAAACAGCAACTCCCTTCACCAAGAGGCTAGGCGAGCACTTTAAAGAGTGCTTGAACACAGTATTTTCCAATATTCCCAGGTGAAGAGTATTACCCGGGCACTTGTTAAAGATTCAGAGTCCTGGATCCCCAATAGACCCACTATAAATGTGAATGCTTAGAGTAAGGTCCTGGGATCTGTATTTATATCAACAGCCCTGGAGAATTCATATCACAAGACTAGGTTAGAAAGCATTCTGCTAGAAAGACGCTTATTGCCCTCACAGGCTCAGTGCCAGCAGCTCTGGAAGGACTCAGTGACCAAAGTGCTGGGCATTTATATGGTGCCAGATTTGTAGCATCAGATGTATATCAATAGCAGGATGTAAGGGGAGGCTGGGTGCTAGGGATTCTACTCAGACTACTTTCCTGATCCTAGAGAGGTGCTGCAGGTGGCAGTGAATCCTAAGGGACTGCAGAGCTAAGAGGAAGGAACAGGGTGTCTTTTAATAACAGCTCCTGGGCCCTTTTAATTGGCTCGGCCCAGATCTGGTGTAGTCTGACACAGGTTTGCAGCTTGGATGTGTTCTGTTTCCCAGGACCGTTGCCTGGTCCGTTAGTGTAACAGTGTACAGAGTTATCTGGTTCCCAGAGAGTCTTCCCTGCCCTAAACCAGAGTCTTGGAGAAAAGAAGATGGGGATGGACCAGCCTGGAGAAAAGGAGGAGGTAGGAGGTGAAATTATGGAAACTGCAACTAGGAAGCTTGCACGTTTCTGGGGCTACGTAACTCAGCCAGGTGCGAGGATTCAACATAGTGCTTTCATTTATACTAATTAATCATACTGAGGGACAAGAGTTCTTTTTCTACACCTCAAACTTTAGTTTCCTTTAGTGGTAGTAAGTATAGAGCTAAATTCAACATAAGATCTTAGATTTTTGGCCAGGCGTAGTGGCTCACGCCTGTAATTTCAGCACTTTGGGAGGCCTAGGAGGGAGGAACACTTGGGGTCAGGAGTTCAGTGAGACCAGCCTGGCCAACATAGTAAAATCCCATTTCTATTTTATTTTAAAACAAAACAAAACAAAAACAAAACTTAGATTTTCAATGATCTTGTACCTTTTTTACTTTTAGAGGATAAATGATCATTGAATTAAAACAAAAGTTAGTTTTCAGTTATAAATCATCACTGTGTATTTTATGCCTAATAATTATGTCACTCTGGAATTGATGAATTTGAAGAAACATGGAAGATTATATTGGCTGTGGCTGTGAACCTAGTGATGTGAAGATGTTGGATTTATATATGTTAATTTGATTCATATGCAAGTCAAAACACGCATATTTTTAATCAGCAAATGGTTTAATATGCTTTCCACACTTGTAAAAAATGAAAAGTACTGCGAGCTATTTTTTGCCTTGTCATTCATTCTGTCAACAGTCCTTATTATGAATGTGGTGCATTCCGGTACAAGGCAGAGTTACAAAAGCAATAGAAAATATGCCCCTTTTGTAGCAGAAGACAGAATAAACTTAAACACAATTTTTTTCTCACTTTATGCTTTGAGGAGTATTTCTGTAAAATCATGTGTGTCATTTGAACTTTTAAGACTCAAGATCTCATAAATATTAAAAATTCGGAGCTGATTTATAACTATTTTGTTGGACCTTCCATTGCCATTTTTATTATTCATTCATTCACTCTTTATAAAATAATAGTATTCACTCAGCCTGTGTGAAATACTTGCAAGGCAGCATGCTACAAAGAAAACTTGATCCTTGACCTAAAAGGGTTTACTGATTACTAGAAAAGTTAGCTGACTATTAAAATGAAAACTTGGGTGGTCAGCTTGCAGGGCAGCTGTGTTCTCTCACCGCCACAGCCCAACTCACCTCAGCTGTGTTGGATTCTCATGTGAGGCTTGAGAGGGGCTAGCGCCTCCTGTAAGAGGACAGAGTGAAGGTGGGCTGACTTCTTGCCCAAGATAGTGTGCTGGACAGTCTCCCAGCTTCCTGAGCTGCTTCTCTAGAGCTTCGTTGTACCTCCTTCCAATTAGCCCAGAAACTGGTTTCAAGCCAATCCCCTAACCTCCATGACTCTCTCAATAAGATATTAGTAAAATTATTACATAACTTTGTCAAAGTTAATTTACAGGTTAAATCTGATTTCTGCTCTCAACAGTTTTTGTTGGGCTGTTAACAATCCGTTAGGGAACAACTCAGTTTACTGGGGAAGCAGCTCTCTGTTTAAAGTGATGCTTGGATAAATCCCTTAGCAAAGTCGATCCTTTTATAAGTGGTAATATCTTAATTAATTTTTACAATTAGATTATATTTTCTTTTTATTTTATTTTAGATTGGAGAGTTTGTGATTCCACTTATATGAGTTACCTAGAGCAGTCAGATTCATGAAGCAGCTGTCTTTGCACTTACCTGGCAACAGTCATGAATCTGATCACTCCAGGTATCTCATATAAGTGGAATCATACAATATTTGTTCCTTTGTGTCTGGCCTATTTCACTTAGCATAGTGTTTTTGAGGTCCATCCATGCTGTAGCAACTATCAGAATCCTGTTCCTTTTTAAGGCTGAATAAAGCTCCATTGCACCTGTATATCACATTTTGTTTATCCATGCAAACAAAATGTGAAATATGTTGATGGCCAGTTGGGCTCTTTCCACCTTTTGGCTATCGTGTTGCTATGAGCATTGGTATATAAACAAGTATCTGTTTGGGCCCCTGCTTTTAATTTTTTGGGATATAGGCCTAGGAGTAGAATTGCTGGATCATACGATAACTCTATGGTTAATACTATAAAAAACCACTAAACTGTTTTCCGCAGCAGGTGCGCCATTGTGTTTAAGTTTAAATTTTTTTTTGAGACAGAGTTTCGCTCTTGTTGCCCAGGCTATAGTGCAATGGCACAATCTCGGCTCACCACAACCTCCGCCTCCCGGGTTCAAGCAATTCTCCTGCCTCAGCCTCCCGAGTAGCTGGGATTACAGGCGTGTACCACCACATCCAGCTAATCTTGTATTTTTAGTAGAGATGGGGTTTCTTCACGTTGGTCAGGCTGGTCTCAAACTCCTGACCTCAGGTGATCTGCCAAACTTATTCTATCAGTCATTCAAATAAATGATTCAGATATAAGGTATTAAGTCTTGGTTAATTTAACTATTTTTTTTTTTTTTTTTTTTTTTTTGAGATGGAGTCTTGCTCTGTCGCCAAGCTGGAGTACAGTGGCGCAATCACAGCTCACTGCAACCTTCACCTCCTGGGTTCAAGCGATTCTTCCGCCTCAGCCTCCCGAGTAGCTGGCACTACAGGTGTATGCAATCCCACACGGCTAATTTTTGTATTTTTAGTAGAGACGGGGTTTCATCATGGCAAGGATGGTCTCGATCTCTTGACCTCGTGATCCACCCACCTCAGCCTCCCAAAGTGCTGGGATTACAGGATGAGCCACCACGCCCGGCCAATTCAACTAATTTTTTTTTATTCCTATTAACTGTACTTAGTAAATGCTACTAGCACAGAAAAAAAATGAAAAAAAGGAATTGGAAGAGGTGTTTTTTTCACAATCCCGTTCTGAATATTTATCATATGCATATCACACTTTGTTGGAACTGCAGCACTGAATCCGTTCTAACCTATGTTCTTCTGTTTGTCTATTTTTTCCAGGTACAATCTTAGGGCAGGAACCATGGAAACAGGTACATTAACAGGAGATGTGTTCAGATTTTGTTGTTGAATCAATTGATTCTTTATAATAAAACCTAAATGAATATCTGATTAATCTGCTAATATGTATTCATGTTTCTGGACATTAAATTCAGTGTTCCAGCAATTATAGTTCCATCAGAAAGACATATATCACAGAAGCAAAGCTTTTAGAATGTAAAAAACCAAACGGTGACAGGAGAAATTATTGGATATGATTAGCATGTCCAGTGTTAAATGGGGCAGATTTCATAAGGAGTTGAATTATGCTTAAGTCTGCAAAATACTTAGATTTTGGTGACAGATGGAAGGGTGGAGTTTGTGACTAGAAAATGGCATTCTGAAATTGTTTGGAGGTAGGAATGTAAGGGAACATGCAAGCACTTTTGAAACAGGCCGGGTGCAGTGGCTCACATCTGTAATCCCAGCACTCTGGGAGGCTGAGACAGGTGGATCACCTGAGGTCAGGAGTTCAAGACCTGCCTGGTCAACATGGTGAAACCCCTTCTCTACTAAAAATACAAAATTAGCTGGGTATGGGGGCATAGGCCTGTAGTCCCAGCTACTTGGGAGGCTGAGACAGGAGAATCGCTTGAACCCAGAAGGTAGAGGCTGCAGTGCCTGTGACCAGGTAGCAAGTAGACTACATCAGGCTGCTGCTGAAGTCACAAGAGTATACCCATGCATGAACAGCTATCGACAAGGCCACAGGCCTGTTGTTTGCCTACCCTGGCAGGGTGGCCGACCAATAGCACACCATCAGGGCCCTGAAACACTTATGTTCCCTGTATGGTTGCCCTTTGTCCATTGAGAGTGATAGAGGAACACATTTCACAGGACAACAGGTACAACAATGAGCAACAAAAATGAATGTAAAGTGGGGATCCCATGTGTCATACAACCCACAAGCTGCAGGTATGATTGAGCAATGTAGCAGGCTGTTGAAGAATGGGTTATGCTTGCATGTCACACCCCCATCTTTGTGGGGCTGGAGTTCCAGGCTGGACCTGGTGCTTCAAACCTTGAATGGACAGCTATGGAAAGGTGGCCTAGCCCCAGGGGAGGCTTTGTTACACTAGGCCAGCACACCCATTCAGTTGCAGATACACACCAAGGATGACCTCCTCCGATCAGGTATGGGGATGAAAGGTAACCTGTTGTTGGCAGCCCCAACACCCCTGCAAACAGGGGAATAGAAAACCTGGCTGTGGCCATGGACCCTCCAGGCCCCTCACTGTGGGTGGTTGGCCATCGTGACTCCCTTCGGGGAGGGCCTACAGTATGACTCGCATGTCACTCCTTGGGTGTTCAATACATGGCCCCTGTGGTTGAATGTTCACAGGGGAATGGCCAGGGAAGAACCCTCCTCCAGGGGACATATGTACTGTCTATGGGGCATATTATGAGCTCTCCCATGACTTTGGCATGGATACAGGACTCAAAGGAACCATGGGGAGCTGAGAAAGGATGGTACCATCGCCCAGAGTAAAGGCCCTTGGTGGTTGCATTATTATCCAGGGATGAAAGGTTAGCCTATATTTTGTGGAGGGATGTGATTTACCTCTGTTAGTACCTGTGCCTACTCTATCATTTCAACCATAGGTTAACATGCTCCAACTACATTGTGGACTAGGCCCACGCCTATGCTGAGGTGACCAATGTTTCCATCTGTTGGATCTGCACTGCCCTTCCAGCAGCAGCTGCAGACGGCATGCCTTGGCACATGCATTCAGCATCTGCAGAGAATTGGACATGGCTGGAGACATGCAACACAGCAAGCTTTGGACAAAGGACACTGTAAGACCCACAGCACATCTGCCGCCTTGCAGGCCTTTTGTGTTTATGATGAATGGGGCTGGCTAGTGGGGGAACGTGTAGTACCCCCAGCCCAGGTACTGTGGTGCATAGAGCAACATTGGAGCAACACTCCCGTGAGATAGGTACCTGTCATGGCCTGTGCAAACATAACACATGTCACCACACTTAAGGTATGGTGGAACAAGCGGCCCCACCAAGGTTGGGCCCCAATAGATTTTGTGCTCCCTGGGATTTGATGGGTCTGTGGGGACAAGGGTGGCCTTAACTACCAGCAAACTGGACTGGATGTTGTACCTGGGGGTGGCCTTATGTACCTGCCACTGTTCTCCCCATGTTGCCCAGATGGCCTGCATAACTGGGAGGTGCTATGCTGTCGGTTTGTGCAAGTGTGATGAGCCCCCTGGTGGTTTTACCTCTTGGAAATGACTATCCCTGGAGCAGGTGTCACAACTTTAGAAGCACAAATTACTGCTCTTACGAAGCACACCACCTGGGGTCTGAATTACACGCTAGTGGTCTTCCTCCTGTTAACAGATGAGGTTGATCAGATCAGAAATGTGGTATTACAAAACTGAATGGCCTCAGACATAGGAACTGCTGCCCAAGGAGGCACCTGTGCTCTTTTGCAGGCGATCGGTCAGGATGATAGAAAAAATTATAGGAAAGACGCAAACCTTCTTAGAAGGCCAGGAGGTTTTGCAACGCTTTGGGGAAGAATGAGCTGAAGGCAGCTGTTCTTACCCTGAGGCAAATGATAAAGGGCAGATAACAAGGGAGTACAAGGAATTTATCTAGATAAGTTTGTTTACCTATTTCTCTGGAAACCAACCTTTGATCATTTGCACACAGGACTGCCCCCTACTTGCGGGGGGAGAGGGGGTCCGACAAAGTTAATTACCCATAAATTGTGTTTGCTCCAAGTCTTTGTCATTAAATCTGTACTAAATAAATGTGAATGTCTCTGGCTTATCAGGGCCGCACTTTCTCATTGGCAGGCTAAACCGTGGGGTCCCCTAGCTGTGCTCATAGGCAAAAATACCTGTGTCTGCATACTCCTTTCATCCATTGCTTGGCCAGAGTCTGTGGGACAGATTTGGCACCCTTTTAGATACACAATATTGTACCTTTATCCCTGACAATTGGTAGAACATAACAGCAGCCCTGCAAGGGGTCTCATGGCAGATTAAGGTGGTCGAGAGCCTTAATGATGCTTGCCTGCAGAGATGGTGGGCACCCCTAGGCTCTGGCTTATGCTGGGCCCTGATAGTCATAAGTAGCATAGCTGGAATCCTAATGGCGAGGCACTGCTGTCTGTATTGTTGTCGGTTATGGATTCAGGGATATTCCCTATGGGCACGTCCCTGCTGGAGGACGCCCTAGTCCTGGGGGGTGGAGTGTAAGGGAAATGGCTGTGCTTTAGTCAGGAGTAGGCTTAGGCAGCCTTCCAGCGCAGCATGACTCAGTGGGTTTGGAGTGCAGGTGCACAACTCCACATATTCTGTAACCATGCCACATGAGGCACATTAGGTGATCACCCATGTGAGCTCCTGCTGGGCTCGGAGCCACTGCTATCTGCAAAATGTATAATTACCCTGCTGATGCTGTACATATGACTCACTCACACCCAAAGAGAAAACAAAGCCATGTTGAAACTGTCTATGATTCCTTGAGTGTTTTTCCAGCTACCCACCACTTACCCACTGATTCCCCTTAGACCTCAGTTAGAACCTGACAGCTAGCTTATGGAACCAGAGGAAGGGCAGAAAAATCAGGAGGCTCCCAGACATCTCAAGGAAAGCTTCAGGATTGTCCAGAGGCTGCAAGAAACAAATTTCAGGTGGCTTTTAGTTTCTTTTTCTGTTCTGCTCAGTATCAGAATGTGAGCTTCTAATTGGCTGAACTTGTGTCATTTGCCTGGCCCCTGGCAAGGTAACATCAGGGCCTAGTGCCTTGATCCACACAGGCATAGCCATGTCCAAAGCAGGTGGAAGTTTGTGCTATTAACAGAAGAAGGTGGAATGGCAGAGTTAAAAAAAAAAAATCAATTACTGTTCTGTCACATTGGGTAAAAGACAGAATTCATTTTATTGTACAAACAATTATAATTAATTTCTAAAAGTGAAACAACTGTGCTCTACATATGCTTGTTCAATCATAATTATAAGACAGATATGCCCTCTTTTATGTTCTTCTGGGATCTGAAAACTGGTCTTCTTTCGTAGGTATGTGTGGGTACAGGCAAGAGGGCCACAGTGGGTGGTAAATCCTGAGGAATCAGTTAATTGTTTCATTAGAGAAATAGACCATTTAATTGCTCACTTTTCAACTAAAGAACAGAAGGTAAAATATTTAATTCATTAACTATAACAAAAATATAGTTTAATTATATATAATAGCTAACCAAAAGGTATTTTAAGCTGACCTCATTTCATAAAGGATTTGAGGTGAGGTGACCTTTTGTTTTAATCAAGGTTCTTTGATTTGCCAATTTGAGATACTCACTTCAAAGTAGGTAAAGCCCACATGGGATGTGATGAATGATTCTATCAAAAATCTCACAGACCTCAAAGACGGAGTCCTCTTAAAATCTAGAAGCATGCCTTTAGCAGGGACGGGAGCCTTTCAGAGCACAAAATGTACAACCATTCACAGCGCCCAGGCTGTCAGAGACTGCCATGTTTTTTCTCTGTTTAGGCTTCCTTCCTCTTTCTGCAGAGGATGAGGGAGAGTCTTGGTTTCCTCCAGGAAATGCAAGCCCACCCCAGCTCTCGGGTAAACATTGCCTGCATTTCACCCAGGCACAAGGTTCCTTTTGTTACTGAGAGAGACAGACTCTCAGGCTGGCTCAGCCTGAATCTGCCGACACCCCATCAACTGTGAAGTACAAACGTGGCTGGAGGTGGGGAGCACCTTGTGGTTGAGAAGGTCTGGGAGAAAGGGGTGGGTATGATCTGTCAGACACTCTAAAAGGTTTCCCTGTATTGTTTGAGACAGAAACAGCTGGGGAAGAGGGGTGGGGGTGGGGGTGGTGCAGGGAATAGAAAAACCGTGACCCGGAGAGAAATGCAGAAACGGTGGTGGTGATTCAAGAAGAGAAAATCAATAAAGGCTTGGGGGAGAGCCTCAAAAGGTATTTCAGTAAGGATACTTTCTGCCGTATGAAACGGGAAAGCCATCAAAGTGTCTTAACCAAGAAATTTGTCTCACCTGATAGGAAGTCCTGGGGTAAAGCGACCTTCAAGGCTGGTTAAGTCAGCCATACGGCAAAGGCTGGAAGGCTCCGGTTCTTTTCTTCCTTCCACACTTCCATCCTTGGTGTGGTCTTTGTCATCAGGCTGTAGAGGATTCAGGCGTCACATCCAAACCCAAGGCCAAGAGTGAAAGGGACCATCTCTTAGACGCAAGGAAACCTCTAGCGGATTCTTCTCATGGCTCGTTCACCAGAATTGGGTCACCTGCTTATTCCTGAGCCACACACAAGCGAGAGGAATGGGACTGCCAGGTGTGATGCAGAGGGCCGGACTTCCCAGAGCAGGTGGCTGCTTTAACAGAGGGGCACTGAACACAGCTGGGGTTCTGATGGGAAGGTGGCAGGAGGGGTGGGGAGGCAACCTGCAGGTCAGCAACAGAGAAGAAAATGAAAAACAGTATTAGAGGAGCAGAGAGGCAGGGAGTGACAGAGCCGAGAGGAGGGAGGCAGGAAGGTGCGCACGAACAGTTAAGTTCAGGTGGAGACAGACAAGCTCACTTAGTGTCTTAGCTTAAAATGCTGTTGTCATATCTTGCTCTTCAGCCAGGCAACTATTAGAAGAACACACTTTACCTGTTTTCACTGCCACTTGAAGGGCTCATTAACTTTTCCATAGTTAAGCTTATTAGCCATTTTTCAACTTCAGAGTTTTAAGGGAGGTGGCCTTAGCAGTATTCAGACAGAAAATTCCTCTCCTTTTCTCCTTAAAATAGATCAGCATTTATTGAGTTGTGAAGGAGTTGTGTGAAATAAATATGATTACTTCGTTGCTTTCTTACATCTTTATTTATAATTTTACCTTCTTAATTGTAAAAGCAATGTAACCATACTTAAAAATTGAAAACCAGAAACAAGAACACAAAATCACCCATAATCTCATAACTGTTATTATTTGGCAAATATTAACTCTTAACCTTTTTCATAAAATTGCATACCATTTTGTAGATTGCTTTATTTTTCAAAACAGGTATAACATACACATGGTACAGATTTCAAAAACAAACTAAAGGTGTTATTTAAAAATAAAGCAGGTTTCCTTCCCATCAATATCTTTAGTCCCCCAGTTTGCACTCCTATTCCACTCTAATCTGCTGTTATCAGTTTATTTTGCTTTCTTCCATAGATAGCCTACCTATTAGCAAGGAAATATGTGTATGTATCTTCTTTTGCCAACACACTATCTTTTGACAAAATGACAGCCTACTGTGTACACTGTTTTTGTCTCTTGCTTTTAAAATTTAACAATATTACTTGGAAATAATTCTACATATAGTGCCTGTAAAATTTAACACTACAATGTATTCACACATTGCCACATACTGTATAAGCAGCATCTTCAAGAGCTGTAAAAAGTTTGAGCAAATGACTCATTCATTCCTTTAATAAATACCTATCAAGCACCTGCAATATCTGCAGAGTTCTGGTGATTCTAAGATTACTGAGAATTAGGCCACACCCTAGAAGGAGTTCCAGCAGATTGGGAGACAGGTAGGTAAACAAGTTCTTACAGGCAGCCTGTAAGTGCCAGGATGGAAAAACACAGGGGGTGTTGAGGGAACAAAGGAGGAGCCTCTGAGACATTGAACCAAAGTAGTGAAGAATAAGAGGAATCAGCTCACAGACGAGGGACAATACTCCGGGTAGAAACTCACGATGACATGTGCAGAGGCACAGAATGTGAAGGGACATTGTGGTCCAAGTAACTACAAGGAATTGGATATCACCCCTACTCTTTGATCTTTAATTTTGGGCAAAGTCTTCAATATAAATAATGCTATGATAAACATCTTGCAGTATATAACTTTTTCCATTTGCTAGGGTATTTCTTTGGGTAGATTCCCAGAAGATGGACAGCTGAGTCAAAATGTAGGAGCACTCTGACCTGCTACATACAGCCAAAATGCTTTCCAGATGGACATATTGTTTCATAAGGACAGCAACAACATATGTGCTAACCAGTGCTCATTATTTTTGTATCTTTATTAGAGTTAATGTATACTTCTTTGATTACTAGAAGATTAATTTCCCCCATATTATTTTGATTTCTTCTATGGTTTGTTTTCTGTTTGTACTCAATCACTTCGATTCTATATTTTACCTTAGCTCTATGAGTCTTACTTATAATACAGATATTCAGATTTTTATTTTTCATGCTTGCTGTCAATTTTTTTCTGGTTTAGCTTACACTAAAAAAAGTCCGACATGTGTAAGTGTTTAAGATATTACCCAATCATATCTATTGATTATTTCCTTCTATTGCCTCTAAGTTGAGAAATACTTCTATTCAGAGGTTTGACAAATATTTTCTTCTGCTCTGCTTTAAAATGTATTTAACTCCTTAATCCTCCTAGAACTTATTTTGGATATATGAAATGAGATGAGGATTCAGTTAGTCCCCCCACCCCCAAATTACCAATTAGTTATCTTACCTTTCCCTTCTCCATTGATTTTTTCTTTTTAAGACTTTATTTTCTTAGCAGTTTTAGTTTCACAGGAAAATTGAAAGAAAGACTGCTTACTGTATGATTCCTTATATATGGCATTCTGGAAAAGGCAAAACTACGGAGACAGGGAGATGGTAAAACATCAGTGGTTGTCAGGGACTGGGGGGAGGAAGGGATTGAATAGGTAGTGTAGAGAGGATTTTAGGGCAGTGAAAATACTCTGTATGATACTATAAGGGTAGATACATGTTATTCTGTATTTGTCCAACTGTATAGAACAGGCGTCCCCAAACTTTTTACACAGGTGGCCAGTTCACTGTCCCTCAGACCCTTGGAGGGCCGCCACATACTGTGCTCCTCTCACTGACCACCAATGAAAGAGGTGCCCCTTCCTGAAGTTCGGTGGGGGGCTGGATAAATGGCCTCGGGGGGCCGTAGTTTGGGGACGCCTGGTATAGAATATACAACCCCAAGAGTGAACCCTAATGTAAACCATGGACTTTGGTGATAATATGTCAGTGCAGGTTCACTATTTGTAGCAAAACTGCTACTCTGGTTGAGGAGGTTGATAATGGGGTAGGCTACGCATGTGTTGGGTATATGGGCTATCTCCAATGATTTTTTATTTCAAAGATAAATCCACTTAGGGATCAACTCAGTCATCAGTTGCATCTAATTTCTGGTCCTTTTTGAAATGTGTCACATCAGCTTAAGACAGACCTTTCTTCTGTTATCCAGTATTCCTGCAGCAACTTCTATTTATGTATAGAATTTCAACATAGCTCCAATAGGCTTAGGTAAAGCTTGTCAGTGCCTTCCTGTTAACAAGGAAATCTGCTGCTGAAAGATCTTACTTTAGAAGTCTACCAGATTGGTGGTAGTATGGCCTGTGTTTTGAGTGGGTGGAGAGCGCTTTTGAGGAAGAGAGGATTATTTCATCCAAAGGGCTGAAGTCACTGTTATCTCGTGTCATAGCTTCTGAGGTACTGAATGAGTAGGATCTCCTGGCCCTCCCATCTCTGTGGGTACCTGGTTCATACCTCAATATAGGTATAGATCTCAAGATAGCCTCCTGCTGCTGAAGCACAGGACTATCTCAAAGTGTGGTTTATTGCATGAAAAATTAGCTTCTTGCCTAGCCAGCACTTGACTGCTTGTTGTCAACTAGGTAGCCAGTTTTTGAGACAAGTGAGAGGTTGTTAGGTAGGGAAACCCTATAACTACAGGCTCTCAAACTCAAGTATTTAAGTATCATCTGGGGAGCTTTTTAGATTTCGTGTCCAGGACCGGGTTGCACAGGGTGGTGCTGGAAAAGTGTTTTGATCTCACCTCCTTCTAGCCTTTGGAATCCCTCAAAATATTTCCATAGACATTTAAGCGCAGTCCTGGGCGGTTCTTCCTTCTCCTTTCATGAAATACTGGTACCTGCTTTGACAGCACCTATGAAAGCGCTCCAGGAAGAGGGCGGGTGAGCAACACCTGCTCAAATAGGGTTCTAAAGCAACATCCAGCCACGCTTTCTATTATTCCCCAGAGTTCAAAAACATAATGGTTCGTGATCCAAAAACCCAATTCCGATTCCCCAGAAGACCTCCCTGGAAACCGTTCTGGATTCCTTCCTAGAGTTAGGAGGCAGGCAGGTTTCTTAGGCACTATTCTGCGGGGGAGGGTGGAGCGTGCGCTGTCCGGGTATGCGTGGTTGCCATAGACCCTCGGGCGAGGCTCGTATCCCGGGCCAGGACTCCTTTGGGCCGTCTCTTTTTCCTCGTCTCCTTTTCTAGGATGAAACTCATTTCTCCGGCAGGTGGGGAGATTGGGTTAGAGTCACACGGGGATTCAGGAAGCTTTCCTTTGCATCGTCCCATCCCGTCATCCATTCCTCCCATTTCCTGGGGCTCTTCTCCCTCTTCCCCAACTACCCTCTTTTCCATTCGGCGAAGTACACGACTACTTTCCTCCCCTGTCCAGTGGCACCGCATCTACTCTAGCCACAGAAGCCAGTTGTGGAGGAGGGGGCGCGAGAGCTGCTACCCCAGAGCGGGTATTGGGGGTGGCTCGCAGGTCCTCACTCACCCGGCCCTCTCGACTGCGTCCCTCCAGAGCAGCCGCCGCTCATCAATCCCGATCACTCTGCCAGGCTGCTCCCCGGGCGCTCTTCCTTCTCCCTCTCGCCTGCGGTCTTCCACTCTCCCACTCCCTACCTACCCAGCGGCGGCGCTCGGGGTCGGCTGCGCTCGGGGTCTGCGGCGCTCGGGGTCGGCGGCGCTCGGGGTCGGCTGCGCTCGGGGTTGGCCCGAGAAGGGGCGGGGATAAAGCGAGCGGTGGAAGGAGGAGGCTACGTGGTGCCACCGCGGCCCGGGAGCGCCCGACCCCGTGCGCGCGCGCGCCTTGCCAAGGCTTGGGAGGCGGGCGGAGCTGCGGGCGGCGCGGGCGGAGGAGCAGCCGGCGGGGCGGGCAGAGCTAGCGGCGGGCGGAGCAAGGGGTGGGAGGGCGCGCGCGGGCGGGCGGGCGAGCGAGTCGGCGAGCGGCGTCTCCGTCAGCATCTGCCGCGGCCGCCTCTGCCCGAAGCCCGGGGACGAACCGACGGACCGACCGCCTGGCACACGGATGCGGGCGCTCGCTTTGTGTTAGGGGCCAGCTTCGTCGAGGCGCGGGCTTGCAGCGCGAGGCTTCCCGGCTTGCTCGCGGCCACCCCGGCTCCGGCGGCCTCGGCGCAGGAGAGGCTGGAGGTGCGGGATCCGCTCTCCGCCGGTCGGTCCCCGCGCGGCTGAGCCCAGGCCGCCCGCGCCGCGGCCCCGTGCGGCGTCCCTGAGCTCCTGCTCCCCGCCGCGCTGCTCAGAGCGACGGTGCTTCGGGGCTCCAAACTCGGGCTGCCGGGGCAAGTGTCTTCATGAACCCAGAGGATGTCCGGGAAGCACTACAAGGGTCCTGAAGTCAGTTGTTGCATCAAATACTTCATATTTGGCTTCAATGTCATATTTTGGGTAAGTTGGAGCGCTCCTTGGATTCCAACTATTGTGGCCGATCGATTTCGCGAAGATTTCCCCCACGTTGCTCGTTGCCTTTACTTTTCGCAGCCCCGCAGGCGCTTGCCGGAGCAGCGCATAGGCATTCGCCTTCCGCCTTTCCAGCTGGCGCGTTGGAGAAATAAACATTTAATCCTTTCGAGGAATGGGAAGAGGTGAAAAGAGAAACCGAGGTAGAAAGGGGGCACCGAGGCCTTCGGGTGGCTTTTTAAAGAACGAATAGCAGGGATGCAGATAAAAGAAAGGACTCGGCAGTTTGAGAAATGAGCAGCCGCACGAATTGGATTTGCTCCCGGTGGGATATGGATGTTGGGCAGAGCGTGGTGTCATAACAGGGAAGGCTAATCGGGCACAGCCGACCCTAAGGTCCACCTTCTAACCACGATCTGATTGGACGAGGGCTTGGCTCCGCGTTGCCGCGGCTGGTCTGTGCCATGCTCAGCGTGTATCTTCTTGCACCATCTCGGGCTTTGTGTAGGATGCAGATGCCGTGGTATATGGTTCTGTAATGTGCACGTAAATAACGTTTCCTGCACGCTCTTCCTCTTCAGCTGGAAAGCGCTCCTTGTGCATAATGGACTGGCCAGCGGGCGCGCGGGGTAGAGGGATTTATTTATATGTATATGTCATTGTCAGGATAATAACAAGTCACCGTCCACATATGTTTCAATGTGTTCGTGCTCCGTGCCCCACGTTCTCCTTTTTAAAGGAATGACACAGAGCGGACCGTTTTGGGGAAACCTTTGGAGAAATGCAAAGGAGGTGTGCGAGGCATGTTTTATTGGGGAACCAAGAGAGCAAATGCTTGAACACAAGATTCAAATTATGCTCTGCTTGTGTTGAGCACCTACTGTAATTAGGCTGGGACGCCTACTCTTGTTTGTTTGTTTGTTTTCCTTCTTTTCCTTGATCTGGCAAACGTGTTCAGCCAGACAAAGAGTTCTCCAGGACCAGGGGAAAACGTTGGTTCGAAGACCATGCTATTTTTCTTCTCCTTCTCATCCCATCTCATCTTCCTCACTGGGCACCCCCTTTTCCATGGAAAGTAAAGATGGTGGATGTCTGGGTGGGGGGTTCTCTAAGTTGCTGTTCAGTATGAGGTAAACAATGATCCAACTGCGGGATCAACAATTATCCACAGCAGTCTGAACACGGAATGTATTTATTTGGATTCTCCTTTAATTTTGGCCGTTTGCTGTACATATATACATCTGTGAGAATAGTTGTCAATACAGCTTTTCATGTTTTTTTTTTTTTTTTTTTTTTTTTTTTTTTTTTTTTTTTTTGTACCACACTCTTGCCAGGTTATTTTATTTTCTGTTTTCCATAAGAGTACCTTGCATTGGTCATGTATGTTTTGTGAGGGGAAATGGAAGGGACTGGAGACCACTTTCCGTTTCAGCATGTCATCTGTCTTCAGGACTAATAAAAATAATGAGGGGACGCATGAATGGATGTCATATCCTATCATTCTACAGGCATTTTTTTTTTTTTTTTTTTTTTAACCAGTGTTGTGCATGATTCCCGGAAACAGCCCCCCACCTCCCTGCAATCAAACACTGCTACAAATACAGGAAGAAGAAATTATTTTCTTTCTTTGCCCCTTCTCCATTTGTGAAAATGTTTAAAAGTGGTGGGTAGTCACGTTTTTGAATAAGATATTCTGATTTGATTGCAACTTGAAACTTTGTGACTTGGAGAGGCAGGGACTACGGAACTGGGACTGGTTCTTTTTGGGGTAGTGAGTTCAGAGCTCTTGTTTCTACTTGAACATTTCTAAAAGTTGCACATTTTAGCTACCTAGCGACAAAAATCACCCGGGGACTTTCTCTGCCGTTTCCTAGCAGGGGATGGTAAGGAAATAAAAGGGTTCGGGCCTGCTTCCCTGACAGTTTGCTGTAATTTTGTAGAGTGCACAGGGACAAATTTAGCCTGTTCTGTGGATTAGGTTGCAGCAAAACCCCTGGAATTGTAGAGCACTTCAAAGAATTGCAGCATGCTTGCATGGAGAGTTCCAGAATAGAGCGGCATCTTTTTTGATTTTGAAGGTCATCATAGGTGGGTGGGTGGGTGAGTATGGGAAGCCCTAGAGAAGACCTAGGCTGCTAAGCCAGCTGCCCCAGGCAGAATTGTTAAGTGAGTGCCTTGGTATGAGGGCCCTTCACTTACCCTGCCTCCTCTCTTCCCTTCCTCTCCTTTGTATGCCCAAAGCCTTCCTCTCAGATACACCTTTCCTATCCTGCTCTCTGCTCCAAAATTACCCCATATTTAAATATCCTGCTTTATCGTAGAATGGTCTCTAGTGGTGATCAACAGGAAGGCAACCATATGGTTTTGATTAAAGCAGTTCAGACTAAGATGCTAGTGACTGAAAAGCAGGGGTCAGTAGCTTGGCAGCTTGTTTCTGAAAAGTTGCACACCTCTGCCCTCTGCAGAGTCACCAACCTGTCTGCGACTGCCAAAGACAGCCGACTCAGTGCTACTCCCATACAATTATGAAGAAGAGATTGCCAACAGCATGGTTTCCCAATTGTTCATTTTTACCCTGAACTGCTAGACTAAATTTGACATACACTGGTGACATTTACAAGTATAGTTCTGGTAAAATAAAATTGAACATATGGTGGCACCAGCACTGAAATTTTTTTTTTTTAATTTCCTAATTGGGAGTTTGGCTCTTTGTTAGTTAACTGCCTGGGCCTCAGTTTCTCAGCTGTTAAATTGAAGGAGTTGGATGAGTTATAAGGTTCTTTCTAGTTGTTACACAGAATGAGTTTCTTGAGTTTCAATAGGCTGGAGAAGAAAAATAGAAGAGTTTGGCCACTAACATATAACAGTGGTAGTATATACTAGGACACTTGATAAATTATAGACATTTTCTGTTAGGGAGGCTTGTCTGAAGACCAGTTTTATTACTTTCATTTCTTCCTCTAAGACCATTTTATTGAAAAAAAAAAAAAAAAAACTTTCACTAATTTCTTCTTGGCTTGTTCAGTTCCTGGTATAGTCGACATGCTTTTTTCTCACCACTGTAAATCTCAGATGTATTCCCGTGAGTCATTAAACATATTTTTATCATTAGAATTACAGCTTCATGTATAAAATTTGAATCCTTTTATATAACGGTTGTAATGATGTTGTGAGTAACAAAGTCAACATCTTGTACAGATTCCTTTCTCATTAGTTATCACAGGGTGGTAGGGGACAAAGTTGTTTTCTCTGTTACATATTGGAACAACTCAAGACAGAAGGGAATTGATTTTATTGAGGGTGTCACCGTACTAGAACATTTCTCAGAAAACCCTAAGACTGCTTTGGGGTTGGGGGAGGGAGGAGAAGGAGGGTTTTGTTTTAAAGTCATTTCTTTTGGGTACTGAACCCCACATCCCATCACCCATCAGTAATAGATGTTATTAATATTTGGATTCTGGCTCTTAACTGTTTTGGATTCTGGATATGTAACTTTCTAGGCAAGTAAGTTGATCTCAATATTCTGGTTATTTATTGCTACATAACAACCTCCAAACTTAGTTGTTTAAAACACCGTATTTATTATTATAGCTCATAGTTCTGTGATTTGGCCAGGCTCATCTGGACACATCTCACTCGTGGTCTCATACAGTTGCAGTGAGATGTGGTTGGAATTGGAGTTATCTGAAGGCTCTTTGGAGCAGGATGCCCAAGATGGTATACTCATATGACTGGCAGCTGATGCTTGCTGGGATCTTAGCCAGAGTCCTGGAGCATCTACAGAAGATGCACCTACAGCAGCTTCTCCTGTCTCTAAGATTTAAAGAAGCTTTCAGCCGGTTAAGGCTGCACTTAGAACTAGCAGTGCCACGTTTATCTATTTCATTGGTTAAAGCACTCATGCAGCCTGCTCAATTTCAAAGGGTGAAGAATTAGATGCCATCTTTTGATGGAGAAGTGTCAAAGTCACATTGCAGAAGGTCATGCATGTGTGGTCATCCTCAAAAAATATTATAGTCTGCTGTATTAAGGCACTGAGCCTTAATTTCTTGTTTATAAAGGAAAGATAACATTATCTAATGGTGTTGTAGTTTGAACGATTCAGTGAGATAATGTTTTACTCAGCAAAATAGCTCAATATTGAACAAATGATGAATATCATTATTGTTATTGTCTCCATATTTTATATTGGTTCCATACAGGGATATAGAACTTCTAGAATGCCTTACTCTAGTACTTTGGCATCATTGCTACGAGGTAATACAATACTCTTAAGACCTGCCAGGAAGATGCGGCAAATGGATTCAATAGATTTTATAGTGACTTGTTAGGAAAAAACTCCATGGAAGTCGTGAATGATTTGGGAGAACCAACTCATTTTTCCGTTCTCTTTGCTACAAAAAATTAGAAAAGCCTTAGATACTTGAGGCCAAATTTCTCTTTTGA